ACACTCCTACTCCTTCGTTAACCCTTCTACACAGATATACGACAATAACATATGTGAGAGGGCTATCTGAACTGAAATCAACTTGCAGATCGGATACTGACTGCATCAGTCAGTTCACTGACAAATTCACTCTCACGAGTATTGACACATCGCAGAAAAATGACTTCGTTTCTTTTCAATCATTGGTGGCAAGTAAACTGGACTCACGTGTCGTGGCTTCTACAACCGACGCCATCTTCTTTACTGTGGTAACTGCAGCTTCTGAGAAAAGTGAAAATCACTAGAATTCGAATAGGTCATTAAGAAATTGACAATGATAATCAACTCCGTATTGGAAGGTTCACACTGGCCGTATGGATCACAGGTGTTGAACTCATCTTTTCGTGTATTCTTCACTATGACAACTTATCGGGCAACACATCCAACTGAGATGTTCCACATTCTTGAGAAAAAACTCGTTCCAGAAATTTCAGAGACTGAAAATGCAGTCGTCGAGAATGAGGTCTTTCTCGACCAGTGCACTCAACACCACCCTCCGTCTCTATACCCCATTCTTTCACCACGTTAACAACCAGAAACTCGCCCACTTAAGCGAACACGTACGGACTCACTCACACACACAGCCACACACCATGACATCAGTTATCAAACTGGGAACGATGACTCGGACTAAAATCATTCTGGCCTCGAATGGAAGCGCGTAATTGCAGGTAAATTTATGTGTGTGTCAGTCTGTGAATATGGTGATGGCTGAATGTGTGAGGGAGGAAATATGCGTAAGAGGAAATCTATTTGCGTGTGTGGTGCGTACTGCGAGCATACAGAGCATGAACTGGTCTCACCTGTTTTTTTTTCTAGACCATCCTCCTTCCGCGAGATCACTGGACGTTCTAAAGAATTTGGAAAGAGCATGTATTTAGACACTCCATTGTTAAATTTATTAAACTGTTCAAAAATACACATGGATGTTTTAGCAAGTGGCTTCCTCAATTGGCCTTTGTGTGGCACCACATGTTTCCTCTATTTATTCTCAAGATCTATGACGTAGTGACTACGGTTAGAGGACCACTGGGAAGCAAGGAGTTCGTGGAGTCTGTTCCATACTATCTTCACACTCTCAAGCGATATGCAGCAATCATCGTACCGAGGATCAGACCGACTAATTTCAGTTTACAAGGAAAGCTCGTAGGCCATCGATTCATTGGGATGAAATTCAATGTCCCGACCATCAATTACAACTTCTACTAACATATATATTTTCTATTTGTTTTATTCAATTAGTTCAGAGTTTTTATTCTGGACTCACCAGTGGTTATTTCTTCTTCCTCATCTTCTTGATAATTGTGTTTTTCCTGGTTTCCTGAAAATAGTGTTTTCCTGTTTAACATATGCATGTTGATATCTCTATTTATGTGAACAACGTTTCATTCTCAATCACTTTCACTCTTTTTCTTATTTTATCTGAGCCCTAACTTCATTGTGTGCTAATAACATGATTCAATATGTAGTAAGTCTCCTGCAAGAATAGTGAGTAGTCGATTATTGGGGTAAACGGCGAAGTAGAGGAATGAGAAGATTTTTAAAAAACTTTATATAAGTCAACTTGATATCTTAAGGTTAGGTGATCCAGTGTCAAGGCTATTTCACACATTGTCATATTAGGCTCGGTGATTCGTGGACGAATGCTAGCTGGATAAACAGTCATCATCGCTCGACGATTCTGATCCCGAAATGCATATCTCGTATTCTGGACAATCAACTTCTCGTTTCGGCTTGTCTGACTCTGGTCTCAGTGGGACGAGTATTTTGAGAGTTGAAGGCGAAACACTTGCGAGTGTGTAAAGTGTGTCTCATGTAATTTCTGTCATAATTATAGGACATGGAGAACAAGATATTTTAAACGCTGGAATACTTTTGTGTATTTTTATTTGTGTGAATTTCGTGCAGCTTCTCGTTGTAATTTTCATTATGAACACCCTCATTTATCATCTGAGTACGCTATCCACTTGCAGGACTAAAACTGAAAGTTAACTGAATGCAAATTAGAGAAAGTGGAGATGGACAAGGATAAAGCTGGTTGATCCCAAAAAGCCCAGATATATACAGGGTTCGGGTGGTATTGCTGAATCTCCAACGCTTTCGCTACAAACAAAATCGGAAAACTGACACCATTTTCAGCTGTAAAGAAAGCTTTCCTCAATGATCTCCCTAACCTATTCTTCCCGGATAGTGGGTTGTGAAATACTATTCTACAGACTCGCCAAGAAGCAGTCTGCAAGTAAAGGACCCAGTGGTGACCGCGTTGCCACTACATCCCTTTGTCTAAAGGGTGTGTTTGTTGAACCTGAACCTATATTAAGAGTGCACCTTAACAGTAGTTCCTTTAAGTGGTGAATCGGAATACACACGCCCACATTATTATCCTCAGTAAATTCGCATATAAAGCAAATAGTTTCAGTGAGAGGAACATTGGTGAAAACGGACACAACATCCACGGAAATCATTTTGCTCCCTGATACATCAGAATCAGATATTGAATCAGCGAATTCAAAAGAATCAGAAACACCATGCTGACAGAGATCAGTTCTGATAGGTAGAGGAATGTCCGCGATCCATTCGGCAGTAGCGTGATATGAATAATTTGTCATGTCCAGGATTGGACGTTGTGGCTGGTCCGTTCTATTTGTGAAATTTCGGTAGACCGTATGACTGGGGATTCACGGAACCTGAGGGTAGTATTTGCTTAAATAATAATTCAGAGCCAGTAATAGATTCGCTGTTCTCCTTATCCAGCATTTGCGTTCTCTCCCTTTCAGTTTGTTCCGTTTAGTCTTTCTGGTTATTTTCTTTAAACATTGTGTCGACGCAGGCTTGGCGATTCTTCGAGACGATGCCAGCACATGCATCGAGGTGGGTCAGAACCAAGTCTTAACTGCTTGAAATTTCATGTAGTTTTTTTCTGTGGTTGGCTGAAATCAATCCTGATATGTTGCATAATCAAGAGAATAAAATCTATACTGACCAGTACATTTAGCTGTTTGAATTGATGGGCGTGGAGTAGACTCCACAACTGAAAAGCTAAGGTGAGTCATAGAGAATAAAGCACTTCAGGAAATGCTGAAGCACAATCTGGTTGTCTGTGCTTATAAAACAGTCGCATAATACTTGGTAGTTATATATGAAATAGAAACATAATTGTTTGTCATTGTGTTTCTCGCATATATTCACACCCGACTGGCTCTTGTACAACTTTCATCTGACTTCCTGCATTCACTACCTACAACAGCTTATTCCTCCGAAATATTCCTAATTACTTTCATTCTCGTGGAGTACGTTGAGTGTGGGGCAGTGGTTGTGTGGTAGAATAATGGGTGAACACATCGCATGTGGTCGGATATTCGATCTCCGGACAACGCACTGCAAAACCTCGTTTAGCCGCTAGTGAGTGCTGGTGAGGAAATGAGGTTCCGTGTCAGTCTAGCATCCAAACCCTGTGAAAACAAACTTCACTCCTATCGAAACTTCACAGCCAAAGCCTGAAGCCCTGTGTTACACTCGGAACGCGAACGGAACGCAAATAACGCAATAAATTACATTTATGTACATATACATATTAACTCATGAAATTGAACTCACCTCTTTCATAACTGTATGAATCTTCAATCGATTCGCCTCCTCTGGTTACTTGGATTAAATGACAAATAATTTACATTTATTTGAATGCACATTAATATGTGTATATAATGCATTTTTGCCTCTGCTTCAACTCACACACTTTGTGTGTAACTCAGTGTCACTTGTATTCATTGTACTTGCTTCACATTTCTCCTCAATTTACTCTTTCCCATTTTGTAGCAGCTTTGTACATTCTGTTACTCATACGTGTGCAAGATAATATGTAGTTATATCTTTGTTCTGAACAACATGTTCATATTGAGTACAGGTGTTTCAGCTTTGTTTCATCTAGTGCTTCTGCAGGATCTTAGATTGAAACGGAATTCCACACTACATCATTTAATGGAATTTCGTTCTATCTGAGGCACGCTCCTTCGCCTCACTTAATGATCATCGCGAAACAAACCAAGAGGAATGCTCGGAATCAGTCAGCTATCCACGTGATTAATGATTGTTCTGCAAGGACGTAAATATGTGGTCAAAGCAAAATTACAACTGAGTAAATTCGATAAGTTGTGATCTGTGAGAATTCGGGCAGCTCAGTGATTTTACCAAACCACCGATAACACCATGCTGATGTGTTCAGCTTTATATCATTCACTCGTATTGGCCTCCCTAACATCTATGAACGAGTGATGATCTCTGTTGATTCCTAACAATCATGATGCTGCTTCCGACCATCTACTCAGTCGGTCAGTGTTTCGTTGGACAAGTTGGTTTCCTCTCTGTAGTTTTATAATTATTTCTTTATTCACCGTTGAAATTTTCATCCAAGACGGTTTCTTCACTGTTTCGTCTTCGTTTGCTTATAATTCATTGAAGCGATTATACATTCATCGATATATCCGTGAGTAAGTCAGTGTCTTTCGTTCTGATAAGTGTTCGACTTCATAGACTATCAAACAATTCATTTCTAGCGGAATACGTTGTCGTCCTAAATCGAAATACGTTAAAGTATGATAACTCTCATTTCCGAACTAGTCACTTAGTTAGATGACTGGAAGCAGTCGACACTGGAATTGCAAGGCCTTCGTTCCGTTCTTCTTATCGCTTACAGTAAGACTCACCTGTTACATCAACGGAACAATCATCCTCTCTGGGACTCGAACTCGCGTCACCCAGAGCTGTAATCAGATGTGTGACCACTGAGCTTTCTGCCCTCATGACTGACACACATTTCAGCGAATATCAGAGGTCATCTGAAGTCCATCTCTGGCATTTTCATATAACATACCAGTACAAGTTCGCATGCAATGACACGGAGAAGAAAGAAAAGCAATCGACTGGTCAATCTCAATCAATAATGTGCGCTTCATAATACTTACCCAGTTTTGGTAAGGAGAAACGTTTCCCATGCAATGAGGATATTATTACTTCTTCCGTTTGCCCCTCACTCTTCCCTTCACTTTCCAAATAAAAGCTCTTGTCAGTGTTTGGTATGAAGTGCAATTCAAGCGGCTGGTCAGAGTATCCTTTGAAAATCACTATCACGTCATCTTCAGAGCAAAATGACCCTTCTGTTTTCCAAGTTAAATAAGGCGATGCATCTGTATACAGTGGAAGATGGACTTTTGTTATTCTCGTAACTGAGGACAGAAAAGTGAATGGAATGCAAATGGTCAGTAGTCCATGTTAAATATGTAAACAAACAAGAATACCTATGTAATATAAACTAGATATAAGATTCCAGGCAACAAAGAATATTGTTTCTCCGACTTCCTGTTAAATTCCTACATTTAAATAGTGTTTTGAAAAGTCATGGAAATGCCTGGAAATGTTAGTTACTACCAACGTTTTTTAGTAGTTTTTTCCTTCATGTTCCCAGTGGAACATAGGGCTTCAAGCTAATGGCTTGATATTTCTGTAGCAGTGTTTGTTTTTACAGGATAAGGTTGCTAGCCACATGCCCAATCTTCTCTCTTTACCAGCATTATTTCTGGCTTAGTGAGGTAAAGGAGTGAGTCGGACATGGATCGAACCCCGATATGTGAAATCACATATCAGTGTAATGCAATGCGTCCGATGCCAGGTGACTGTAGGTGGCTACTGTGGTATCTTCAAACCACCTTGACACATGGACTTGCAAGTGCGAGTCATTCGATGGAAAACCATGACAGGTGGTAACATGTGTATGTGGATTCGTCGGGAGTCCTCTTCACATAGAAATGAGTGGATTGAGAACATGCATTTCATTTTACTATTTTGTGTCAACTGTACACTATTGAATGTTCACGAATGTTTTCAGCACAAAATCTACTCACCTCGATTGTATGTTAGACTCCTCTTTGCCTTGTCATAGGGAACGAAGGCGATTTTTGACTTTGCAATAATGTTATACTTTTCAGGTTTGCATTGCCGCCCGATTACACTCAATTCTGCTGTATTACCAGAGAGGACGTCGACGGTGTCATCTAAAGCCCAGTCTACTTCTCGTTCCAATACCAAGTATTTAATGCCTTCTTCAACAAAACGATTCCATCCGAATACTAGGGAGTCCGTCTTTTCTTGAAGAAGCCAGAATGTTCTACGTTCTCCTGGAATAAACGTATTTACATGAAAGTGTTAAATAAAGTCGAGAATAAAAATTTGGACTAGCAACCTATCTTTAGACAGTACTATTCATGTGTCGTCAAGATTGCAGTCACGATTACGTCGTGTTCCATGGTGGAGCAGAGGCGAGGAGATCTTTTCTCTCATGCATTAAATCATGACGGTTAGTGTTGTATCTTACGTTTAGATAGGGATCACTTGGTATGCCAAACACTCCTGTCTCCAATGGAGCAGGTGAATCGGTAGATGCACATCGCGATCCAAACTCGACTCTCGTCCTATTTCAGTTGAACTCTACTCAACCCTCAACTTTATTACTTTAATCAACTGACTTATTTCATTTTACTTCAGTTTTTCCATCCAATGAACGCATTCCACATGGCGTAATTCGTGACTCAAAATTTTCAAAATTGATGACTCATATTCTAAAATATCATATCCGTTGGTAACGTCATTGGATACATTTATATATATGATTCTACAGCTTGAGAACAATATGGCCGAGAAGATGAACTCTTCGCTGAACGTCTTCTCCTTCATTTACTATTCTAATCACACAATCAGTTTGAAAAGCAACACCACTTCAATTATATCTGGAAACAGATTAGTTCTGTCAAAAACTACTATCGAAATAAAACACATAATGAAACGAGCTGTAATCGACACTGATTCAGTTGGATTTTTCAATCAGTATCCACATAATTATTAATTCGACTGTCAATTCTCAAGTGGGGTGAGTGTACTCATGCTGCACAACACTGCTACGGATTGTGATGTGATGCAATGTATGGTGTTATTTGACATTTAGAGAAATAAGTTCCCACCAGTATCTGACGTGAACGTGATGTTTATCAAGTCTGGAAATGCGGCCTGTTAACAAGTTCATTTCTGCATTCCGTTGTGTTTCGAGTGGATTATACAACTTCAGTCTGGAGCTATGGTGATTCAGTAACAGTGTTATGTTTAACTGGTTGGGGTAGTCAGTCCTACGCTCAAGCTTTTCTCTTTAACGGGCGCACCCCAGGAATATTCAGCTTTAGGAGCGCATGATCAGCAACCACACCACCACTGAACCATTGACGTACGGTCAGTTCCCTGGGAGGCCAAGTACGCACAAAGCCTAGGCACTTTACTTATCAGGAATTAACTTCTTGCAGTCGTAAACTAAACCATCATTATCATATCAGGTTTCATTTATTGTTACATGAAACAACACTGCAGGAATTAGTCAGTTTCATCTCAAACATCTTATCTACACCCTGCCAAATAATATACAATCCTATATAAAGATAAGATAAGATAATAGCTTTATTCGAAAACAGTACTTGTGATACAGAATGGAATTCTCAGCATTTTACTACAATATTGCATCCAGTTAGTACATTAACAATAAATAAAGTTCTACATAGATTAAGGTTATCTCAGTTAGTTTTGACAACAACATATTAGCATGTCTGTAGCAAAGCCAAGATTAAACAGAGTGTTAGAAAAGTATTTATATCAAAATACACTCAAATTATATGTACTTTAATGACAAATATCAAATATCAAAAGACAGAAGACTTACCTCTTTCAGCATTGCCCTCAAGATATTCAGGACTAAAACTGTCAACCTGCTCTGGTACCAGTAGATTGACTATGAAAGCAGACAAAAGAAATACTTCACAATGTTTACAGTGACTAATAAGTTTCTTATTTCCATCGAAAATAATTCTTGAAGTATCACCACAAAGCACATAGTATAGTGAATGAAATTCAACTGGATAGCAATTTCAAACAAGACGACCATCATTAGTCAGCTTTCACTGTAGTCCGTTCTCAATTATTTCCTCATCTGAGAAGTGACCACTATCGTGTGTCTAGTCCTTCCGTCCATTGTCAATTAAACCCAATCATTCAAGTTTGCAATATGCATTGGAACTCTTCAGCAAGGCGAATCTCACTCCCTAGATACAATTCATGCCCCATTTGAGACTTTAGCTCGCGAAGCAGCACATTCTCTTGTTAAACTCATTACCGATGAGCAATCAGGACTCACGATTGAAATTCTCTAAGACACTAATCGATGTATTCAGATGCGATGTGACATCTAGGTTCAAAGCTTGCAGATAATAATAATAATAATGATTTACTTTATTCCAAAAACAGTACTTGTGATACAGAATGGAATTCTCACCATTAATCACAATATTGCATCTAATTTCCTCAAATTATAGATAAAAATTAATCACACAGAAAATTTTTCACATTTACAATAGAGGTAGTGTCAAAAACATTCAGCATATAAAATGGAAATAACAATAATAGAGATAACAGCTAGGGTTATAATAATAATACAAGAGAAAATTGCCGTGGGCTTGTGTCACACAGTATTGGCAATGTGGTATAGAAATCCTAACATGTTTAAAAATATTGAGTATAATGTTCTCTTTACATGATATGGTGAGGGGAAAAACAAAGATTACTGCCCTCATGGAGATAAGTTGGTGTTTGCAATTATGAGAGTAAAACAGAGAAGTAACAGGACCATAAATATAATAGAAGTAATAAAAGTAAAACTTGAAGGTATATAAGGATGGATGGAGGAAATCGTTTATTTACTAGATGAAAAAAGGTTAGTTAATTGTTGCCTGACACTATTTTCATCACATAAAATACGTGCCAAGTATGGTATCATAGAATTTCTATACTTAGACGTGCGAGCATACAGTTTTATGAAGTTACTCCTTGTTCTATCTGAGGAGATGCAAGGTGAAAGCTGAGGGTAAAGCGGATGCTCCAAGTTAGACAAAATCCCTTTAGCAAATTTATTGCATGAAGTCAAGTGCCTATCGACAACGACGTTAACTATGTGGTCCACTGCGACACCACTCACCCTACTGACAGTCTTCAGTATTCTACGAATTGTGACATAGTCCTTTTTAAACAAACCAGGAAAGAATAAGGGTGAACAGTAAAGAAGAATAGGTGGGATGCAAGAGTTTATGAACTGTAAGAGGAAGGGTTGAGTTATACCCGAGTGTCTTAACTTCTTAATGTAAAATGTCAAGCGGAATATTTTACTGGAGATTGCTAAGACATGGGAAGACCAGGAGAGATCAAAAGAGAGAATGAGTCCAAGATACTTAATTTCTGATTTGATTCCTATATCATTGTCGTCAATTTTACAACTGTCATGAGAATCGATGACTTCTTTTAACTGTCGTTTACATCTTAAGCTGAAATCAACAGTTTGACATTTAGAAGGATTCAGTTTAAGACCGTTAGACTCAGACCATTTGCTGACTTCCGATAGAAAGCTATTTATTTTGGTACAATCTAGCTGGGAGTTAACAGCCATTGAAACCGTTAAATCATCAGCGTACTTCACAAAGTTTATTTCATCAGAGTGAGGCAAGTCATGCAAGAGGAAAGAAAAAAGAAAAGGAGAAAGAACAGCACCTTGAGGGACACCAGCTTCAGTAGGCAATGAAGTGGAAGACTTCCCTTTATATACGGTGTACTGCTTTCTATCTGAGAAATAGAAATGTAACCAGTTAACAGCCCAACATTCTGTTTGACTAGCAGCAAGTTTATTTAATAAGATGTCCCTAGGGACCGAGTCAAAAGCAGATGTATAGTCTAGGAAGGCGCAACGAACAAATTTAGCCCCCTTGTCTAGACTGGAAGCAAAGTTATGATATAAGACGGCAGCTGCATCTAAAGTGCTTCTACTGTGCTTATAGGCGAATTGTTTAGGGTCATTAAAGGATTTAAGCGAAGGTACAAGACTAAGTAAAAGTAATTTCTCCATAGTTTTCAAAAAAGGAGAGGTAACAGCAATGGGTCTAAATTTGACACATGCTCCAGTGGATGATTTAGGTATGGGTACAACTTTAATGTCCTTCCAAACGGCAGACACAATATTATCGGAAAAAGATTTGTTAAATAGATCAGTAAGAGGGTGACACAGAATATCAGAACATTTTTAAAAATAATACTAGGTACATAATCGGGACCTAAGCTCTGGGAAGGGTTTAGAGACTTGAGGCACTTTTGAACATCATTTGTGTTAAAACCTGGAAAGGGGCTATTATTAACACAAGTGATGCTGGGAAGCATGGCATTTGAGGGAGAGTAAATAGAAGATTTGTTAAGAGTACATACATCAAAAGAATATGGAATATTGTTTATCTGCTTACCAGCAGTGATTTCCTTAAATAGTTTCCACATATTAGAAGGATTTTTGCAGGATATGAATTTCTGGTTATATATTACATTCAACCTCTGCATTTCAGACTTAATTAAGAAGTAAGTTCTTTTTACACCAGTTTTATCTTTCATCTTAGACAGTTTTTCCTTCTCTCTACGAAGCTTTTTAAGTTGAGGAGAGGAGAAACGGTCAAATTTGACGAATAGTGTTTCTTTTGGACAACAGATTTTAAAACAGAATTTCAGATAGGATGTAATATTAGAGATATTGCCATCAAGTGAATCATCATTAAACAAATCCCATCTGGTGTCACTGAGCATGTTTCTAAGATGATGTACGTTCTCATTTGAGTAGCATCTGTGAACAACTTTCTTAGACAAGTTTGAGAAGGCTTTAATGTGTAATTTTCCGTAAATTTTGGGTAAGACTCGTACAATACAATGATCAGAATTGAAGAGCGGGGCTCTTTTACGAGCTTCGTATATTCCAGAATCATTTATAAATACTAAATCAAGTGAAGTATTTTGTCGAGTTGGGAAATTAACAACATTTGCATGGCCCAGCAATGTAACAAAACTGCAGTCGCTGGAGTTGAAGTCGCCAGTCACTATAGATAAGGAGTTACCAAACGAAGCAGCAGCAAAAATAGTGAATTCATCGGCGAAGATAGATAGTTCTGAGGGACTGCAACAAGGTGTGATATAGATATTTGTGACAAAAATGAAGCTATACTTAGGTAAGTGTTTAGGTCGACATTTTACAGTTATACAGTCAATATTGTCATTTGAGAATTTGAAGCAGACGTTGTTGGCAGTAGACCACTGAGAATTAATAAAAGTGGCAACACCACCACCTCTCTTCTTCTTTGAGCTGCATCGGTCTTGTCTGTAGATTGTGAACCCACTTAAGGAGACTAAATTATCGTCATATGAATCATGGAGCCAAGTCTCTTGAAGAGTGATTACACCAGTATTACAATATACATTTTGATTCTGTGCAAACAACTAGCAGTGAAATCTATGAGGTGCTTCAATTTACACACCAATCAGTCAATCAAAGTAAGCATTGAAGGTTAAAGAATGTCTCTAACTGTTAATAATGTCTTTTACCAAAGCAAATTATTAAAATTGAATTATCCGTCTATGGGTAATCGAGTTCTTAGTATAATCCATACATACTCGGTTTTATCCATTATAAGAGCGTCGTATTTACTAATGTCCATTTCGAAACACTGTTGTTATTGTAAGCATGAACTCCAAAAATGTAGTTGAAAAATTGCACGAAAACTCACCGGATATGCAAACTACGAGGAAGAATTTGACGTGAACAGGCAGTAACATAATGTACATATAACAGTATATGAAGCCGTATATATATATATATATATATATATATATATATATGTCCTAATTAATTAGGCCTTTTGTTTTAGTTTTCAGGTAATGAAATGCGTTCTACAGAAGGTTAAACTATTTACAAAAGTCTCTGCTATGTGAAGTGATCTGATATTTTTCACACAAATATGCATCTTGCGTTGTAATAATAGTATTCAGATTTCTTCACAAAATGAAGGATAATTATTGGTACAAGAAAAAAGAATACTGGATATGAAAAACCCTCTTCAATTTACTGATTTGTTTATAATGAATGGTGACTGCTGCCACAATCAACTTGTATATAACCAAATGTGTGGCCTGATAATCTGAGCAGTAAATTAGATTAGTCAAAAATCACTGAGATGAAGAAATGAGGAATAGAGTCTTGAAAAGAAAATAATTTACCTGAAAAGATCATTACTCAAACAGAATGTCAGATTATTTAGCATATTGACTGAAGAGGTAAACTGTAGGATACGTAAACATTTCAATTATATCTTGGTATCAATACGGTTAATTTATCAGATATGTTGACAGAGTGCAATAATCGAAACACATTCTGCACAGCTAAGGAATTGCAAAGAAATGAAATTGGTACACGATACTCTGCTTCAATGTCTGCCACTAATATTATCACTGTCGTTTTGGGTTCCATGTGGAACACATATCCATCTCATTCCGTTCACTGCTGGCTTTCCAGTTTGCTCGATTATGGCTCAGCAGCGTTTATTTTCTATTCGTACGAACACCTCGACATCGTCCTCGGACTCAAGCCTAATCCACCTAATTAGTCGTCTACCACGTGACGTCACTCACCGGTCTCCTCCGTATGTGTCCTATCTATGTTCATTTCTTCTGGCAAATTTCTCTGGTGATTGATTCTCGGATGGTTTGTGGGGAGTTTTTTGTTAGCAGTCTTTTCCTGCTGGCCATCTTATTTTCAGTATTGGGGGAATGCAGATGCTGATGTATGTGTGTCAGCCCTTCAGGAAATGCCATCCGTGATGCGCCCAGTATCTGTAATAAAAAAACGTATTATTTGACATTAGTGTTAGAAATCCAAACTTC